AAGGCTCTGCAGGAGGATCTGGATAGGTTGCACCGATGGGCTGAGGTCAACTGCATGAAGTTCAACAAGGCCAAGTGCCGGGTCCTGCACCTGGGGCGCAATAACCCCAAGCAGAGCTACAGGCTGGGAGATGAGTGGTTGGAGAGCTGCCAGGCAGAGAAGGACCTGGGAGTATTGGTTGATAGTCAGCTGAATATGAGGCAGCAGTGTGCTCAGGTGGCCAAGAAGGCCAACGGCATCCTGGCTTGTATAAGAAGCAGTGTGACCAGCAGGTCTAGGGAAGTGATCGTCCCCCTCTACTCGGCTCTGGTGAGGCCGCACCTTGAGTACTGTGTTCAGTTTTGGGCCCCTCGCTACAAGAAAGACATCGAGGTGCTTGAGTGGGTCCAGAGAAGGACGATGAAGCTGGTGAGGGGTCTGGAGAACAAGTCCTACGAGGAGTGGCTGAAGGAGCTGGGCTTGTTCAGCCTGGAGAAAAGGAGGCTCAGGAGCAACCTTATCACTCTCTACAGATACCTTAAAGGAGGCTGTAGCGAGGTGGGGGTTGGTCTGTTCTCCCACGTGCCTGGTGACAGGACGAGGGGGAATGGGCTAAAGTTGCGCCAGGGAAGTTTTAGGTTGGATGTTAGGAAGAACTTCTTTAGGGAAAGGGTTGTGAGGCATTGGAACAGGCTGCCCAGGGAAATGGTGGAGTCACCATCCCTGGAAGTCTTTAAAAGATGTTTAGATGTTGAACTTAGCGATATGGTTTAGTGGGGACTGTTAGTATTAGGTCAGAGGTTGGACTTGATGATCTTGAGGTCTCTTCCAACCTAGAAATTCTGTGATTCTGTGAAATTCTCCTGATTCTTACTCTAGGGGTTTGCAAGAGATTCCTGTAGGAAGACTAACGTTTGATTTGACTTTCAAGTCCCTTCAAAACGCATGATGCCTATGTACTGTCAATATGTGTCAATAATTTCCAAGTGTGGCAATCTACCATTCTCACAGCACTTTGGCAGATGGCAGATCACCAAAGGAAGGCCCCCTTCAAAGTGGACCAGTGAGGGTGGAGGAGAGATTAACAGTTACATTATACTCCACTGTATTAGCAATCAGCTAGAAAATTAACACATACACCAGCATTCCCCCAGTTCTTAAGAGTATTTCAGGAATGGTGGCAGACTTTTTGCTTAAGAGACTTTCATCTCACCTGAGGTGCTTGGATAAAGCACAGAGAAATGAACACATGCACAGAAGTACCAATGTAACAAGAATGAAGGTGTTCACAGCTGAACCTCTTTAAGGCTGTGCTAAAAAAAGGACAAGATGAAAGACTATATTATTCATGTGAGTAAACTGGATTACGATAACAATAATGTTTTGCAGCTGAAGTGAATGTGGTTTTCCTTTTTTTTTTTTTTCTTTTTTTTTTTTTTTCTTTTTTTTTTTAAGAGGGGGGAAATGTTTATTGTAAAAACATTTGCCACACGATGGCGGCACTATTCAATGGGACCAAAATTTTGGCTATTATTGCTGGGAAACATTTCGGAGTTTTCAGGAGGCTGATTGTTACAGGGCCACAGTACAGCTAAAAATGAAGCATTGGCAGCATCTGAATAGCTATTTTGCACTGTGGATGCTAAGTGGCACAGTGGGTTAGTACCATAGTCTTTTTCTCCTGGAGACTGAGCCCTGCATCCTGGCTTGGCCTATAAATGCAAACAAGCTGGGTGGTCTCATCCTGGTCCCTGTTTGTGCATATCACAAAAACACCACACAATTTGGCACAGCCAGGAGCTGCTGCCTGGGAGAGGAGTGGGCTTTGGCTGTGCAGGGAATGGCAGGTCCAGGGCATGGTGAACCATCAGATCTGTGAAGGGAAGCTTGTGTAGCACCTGCTCAGACTGAACGATGGTCACCATCTGGAATCAGTCCTAATCAGATTCAAAGTACAGTTGCAGCATAGTTTATTCCATGTGCATGAAATTCGAGTTAGATCTTTATTTTATCCTTCTCCCTATTGCTACTTATGGGCCTTTGGTGCCAGCAAGCACCATGGGATTTGACTTGTTTTTATGTACAATTACAGTGAATAAATTTGTTTATTGTACACAAACCTTTATTTCTCTATCAACAAGCCTGGCGCTAGGGTGATGGTATTGTTCCATTTTACTTACTGAGAACCAAAACAAAGAAAAGATGAGAGACTTTTATAGGTTTATGAAAGAGACAAGGACACTATTGGGACAAGAATTTGGGTTTATGAAAGCCACAGCAGTGGGGTTTCTGGAGTGGAGGCTGTACAAATGAAGAGAAGAGCTAATGGAGAAAATGGGTGGGATGGAAAGAGGAATACAGTACTGGAGAAAATGGGAAACTGGTTGGGGCACCGGAAAAAAAAAAAAGCAACAAAAACAATGCAGGAAAAGAGTAAAAGTTGATGAGAAATAATAACTATAGAACTGGGAAAAATATCAGTAAAGGGAGAGGGTTTTTATTACTTAAAAAACAAACAAAACAAAACAAAATTAAAAAGTCAATGATACAATCAAGAAAAAAAATCTGAACAATCAGGAAAAGCAGAAAAATGTGCAATACCTGGAGAAAAGAAGATATAAAGAGCAATGAAAAAGTGTTCTTAAAAAATAAATTGCTGAAAAATGCAGTTTTTGAGGCAAGTACTTGTGAAGGTGTGCCAACTTTTATGAACATAACTGATTTTAAAGTGAGGAGCTATTACAGAAAAGTTGAAATATTTCTACTTGATATTTTCTTAGCTAAATTGTTCAATCTCTTATTTCAGAGTAACCATTCATTTTACAGCTATTTCTTTTAATTTAGAGTAGACTAAAATTTATCCAGAAATGAGATAAAAATGAGACGTTTGAAGAAGTGGAGAATGAAATATTTCATTCTTACATATTCTTTCATTCTTTCGTACTTGAGGCTGACAATTTATTTTATTTTATTTTATTTTATTTTATTTTATTTTATTTTATTTTATTTTATTTTATTTTATTTTATTTTATTTTATTTTATTTTATTTTATTTTCATTTCATTTCATTTCATTTCATTTCATTTATTTTAATTTAGCATTATAAAGAAAAAAAAAATGATTCATGATGACCTGGAAACATTATACCCCCCCAGTCTTTCAGTTCTCTCACTGAAGTATAAACTCAATTATTTGTGCAGCCCTAGTTGTGTAATGAGGCATGCTGAAGAACTTCAATTAGATATGCAAGTGCTCCTATAGTAAAATTTTGGAATTTTAGATACATTTGGGTATCTTAGAGACATCTGAGGAGACAGGAGGAAGGCAGAGGGACAGAAAAAGGATCACGATGCAGGATGTTATCATCTGACTGCATTTCTTTTTATTATCAGAGGGAATCTCACTGCTTCTCTGATGTTGCAAGTCTGGGTTTTCAGCTTGGCATGGAGGTGTAGACATCTCTCTCCATCTCTCTCTTATTCCATACTCCCTGTGTAAGCCAATCTCTTAGTAGAAAGATGCGAGAAAACCAAAGAATGAGTGAACTATCAGTTCATCTCAATTTTTTTATCTTGTTCTGGGAAAGAGCTGATCACACTGGGAGCAAGTTGATCACACATTGTTGATCACAGCAAATACAACTAGCACACTTGATCACACCAGAAGCAAGTTATGCTCTTCTGTATCATTTTCATTGTAACTTTTAAAAACCAAGTACATGTTATAGTGTCAGTTGAAATAAATGCCCTCAGTTTCTCTTCAGTTGTGCCTGCATTGGAACACAAATTTTACTCATGCAAACCCAGTTCTTCTGAAAGGAAGGCAAAAGTACTTTCTGTGCCAGTAGCTGATTTTCCACATGCATGATCCCTTTGCTTTATATGGGCCACACACTGTCACAGAGACATAAATTCTTCCCTAAGAACGGCATGGCTGTATTGTATCCCAACTTCCATGCCTGTATTGTATCCCAACTACTGAAAAATTAAGGAATACAAGAGATCTTTTTTTCTGGGTGGGGTGAAAAGTGAGTGAGACCACCATGCCAGAAATGCCTCCAAATGATACACTAACCCTCTTTTCTATAGCTCTTCCCATTATAATAGGAATTCTAGAAACACAATGATACCTAACTGGATAGAATGAATGAAAGTTTAGATAACTTGGAGAAAAATGGGAAAAAATATGCTTATGCACTTTATAACTCTATCTCTTCTTTGATTTATTTTATTTTATTATGTTTTAAATCATGTTTGTATTTATATATGGTTTTTGCTCAACGTACTACAGGTCAATTAATAGAGGTCATTGTCCAGTGGTTTGGTGGTGTATGTTCAGGAAGGCAGGGCATCTCCCTGCTGCCTCCATCTGCTCCAGTTAACATAGATTTCAAGTGATTCAGCTCATGTCTTTTACTTCTTCCCACTCCTTCTGGAAAGACATTAATTTCCATTCGATGGTATCTCTGCTAGCTGAAGTTGTTGCCAAATAGACCTTAACACCATCCCAAACCACTTCTGTGAGAAAAACAGTGGATTGTCTAGGATGACTGCAATGTAACAATGCTGTAATATCTTAGTCAATTGACTTCTATTGCTTCACATGGCACTATGATATTTCTGCATTTGGACCATGTAATTACACATCCTGAATGAAATGACTACTTCTCAGTTGTTGAATAAACTCAAATATAAATTTTTAATATTTTAATATTTTGCAGATATCAATATGAAGTTATATACCTGAATTTGACTGAAATTAAGTTTGATTAACTTTGATTCTTTTTATTTTTAATGTTCCTCTCTACCCACCCTTTCCTTTTTTTCTGTGCTTTTTTTTTTTTTTTTTTTTTTCTTGAAACTGTAAGCAGATATTTAAAATGAGGAAGCTTTACTATAGCCAGATCCTACTGTATATAATGGCCTGTAATTCCTAAGTTGCATATTATGTGTTTGTTTGTATTGAATTTGTGTGAAGATTCTATTAGAGAGCCTTTGAAATAAATCCCCCAATAAAAAGCAGTAATGTAAAACTATTTTTATTGAAAATACATCTACAAAGTAATGTTTCTCAATCCACTCTGGGTGCATACCAATGCAGAACCAATAAGGGATGGGAAAAGGAATCTTTCTATAATATCTGATTTCCAAAAGAAACAGTTAGTATAAAAGAAGATCACATACTTTGTGACACAATTCATTTTTCTCAGCTGATGTCATAGAAAGACAGCCATTTACATTAAACCTTTGCAATGTATTTCCAAACAGAATCTTAACAAAAGTTAAATTGTTATGCCATAAATTCTACAGTTAACATTTACACACATATTCTGAATACAGTAGCTATATAAAAATATCTCTAATTACATATCAGAAAATGTCTGAATTCTAGATTTGTGTTCTGTTAGAAAAAAATAAATCATACTTGCTTTCTTTCAGCCAGAGATTCATTTAGAGTTTTGCAGGTTTGACTGCTCGATAGTCTGGGTTAAACCCGGCTCACTTCAGTCACTGAAGTCTTCCTGCCCATGCTGTCTCGGCTACTCAACAGGAGAAGCTGGGCAGGAGTTTTCAGTCCTGAAAAAAAAGTCTTGCCTTGTTACTTTAGACATGGAAAAAGATTTGCCTTCTGTCAAGATGCTGAAATATTCACTACAGTCAAGCACACTGTATTTATATTCTTTTAGTGACAAAAGGAACATACTATTTTTTTTTTTTTTGATTAACAACTGTGACATTGCAAGGGAATCCTTCATTTGTATTTATTTACTTATTTTTAAACAGGGAAGGCAGAAAGAAGAGAAACTTATGTTTGAATACAAATGATTGCTCAACATTATTGTGCCTGTCAATTAATATTTCTTCATTCCTTCAACCATAAGTGTATTATTAAACTTTCCAGTTTAACCTCTATAATAATAGAAGATAAAAAGTAAAAAATATTTATAATTTACATTTCTAGAACAGGGCTTAATCAGAGAATAATGTTGAAATGAACTAACAGCCACTAGACTACAAGTGAATTATCCCCTTTTTTTTTTCATTCTTTGTTTATCTGTTTCCTGAAAGAAACCTACAATATTGCGCTTTAAAATTCTTTCTAATTAAGTTTTCAATATTTATTATAGTATTTACTATTTTGCATTTTATATATTTTTTTCCTAGAAAAATGTAAAAAAGCACCCATTAGTTTTGCTTTCTAAAGGGTTGTTTTTTTAAAAATTATTTATTTATTTTTTATTTTTGAGATGCTGCCAATAAATGCACAAGGATTTTGAAAATTGTCATGTAGTTAGGAAGCATTCTCCATGCAAAAAAATGTAAATCCAACTAACAGCTTTATTGCTGTCAGTAGAGTGAGCAAGCATTTGGAAATTTTCCAATCAGAAAGTCCCTTGTTGGCATCAGGGATTCAGATTTAGAATCCAGTCCCATTAGGATATGATCATCTCACCCTTCTGCACTTTCTGCAGAGGGATACCACTCCCTCATAGTCTTATTATTGCTTATTAAGGAGATTAATTGGCATACCCAGAGCATTATTATTATTATTATTATTATTAGTTTTTTTTTCCTCCACACATAGATGAAGATGCATTTCCAGTCCCAGAGTCAATACAGCCTAGGGCTTTGCTCCTACAAGCACTTACACACATCTATTGTTCAGCTGGGTCATGGTGTTGAAATTATGGGGGCAAATCCAGAGTGGAGGTACATACATAAATGTTGACAAGTCAGTGGGAGCTGACTAGGTGTCTGTCAAGATCAGCTGAGGACAATGCAAAAAACTGTGTCCAGATAAAATCACTTTCTCTGAAGTATTTCAAGTCAGCTGATAAAAGTGCTGATTGTGTTTGTGTTTGTTTGTTTTTTCTTTACTTACATCTCTCTTTTTTTAATCCTTTCAATTACAGTCCTTTTTATTGTCTTGCTAGTAATTGAACAAGGATGTAATGCTAGGACAAAAGAACATCAGATGAAAAAAACAAAAAATGTTGTTAATTTACTTAGCTGAATGCAGTTATTAAGTTAGAAGTATTGATTGTGTGCTTATAGATGTTAGGAATTTCACAACAGGTATTTAAAAAAATAAAACCATTTTCAGGCTCTGTTATCTGTTCTTACTTTCCAGTTCATAAAAAAAAAAAAAAATCACATTTACAGGACCGAGTAACACACACACTGATTTATATTTTTATTTTTTAACTTAATTGATTATTTTTTTATCCCCAGTTATCACTTGTATAGCAGGACCAGTGTTGTTGCCTGTTATTTTATTTTATTTTTTTAAGTGGGAAGACAACATATACCTTGATCACTGCTAATTTGGAATATATTTTCATTAATTCTTTCCAGTGCAAGCATAAAGGGAGATTACAGGGAATAAGTGGACTTGGTAAATTCATGAAATAAATGGCTGGAATAAGTGTGTATATTTCACACTTGTAGTGTTGGACTCTTGCCTTCCTTACCCTACATCTTGGTTTCACTATCTAATGGTTTCTCACTCTCATTTTCTTGTGAGATCAGCTGGTAAGGTTTCTTCATTTCATTTTCCTCTATCACAGAATTACCCATCTCAGCATCCCTGTTCTTCAGCTCATGCCGTGACAAGTGTTCAACAATTCCTGCTCCAATGGAGTCTCCCAAGACATTGGTGGTGGTACGGAGACGATCCCTAAGAAGAAATGGTAAATTAGCCTTGGCTTTACCACTTGTTCTGGGAAGCATGCAGACTAGTTTAAAAAACCTTTTCATAGCTACTTATTGATACAGTCATTTTAGGAATATACATTTAACGTAACTGTTAATGGCACGATTCCTTCTGCAGTAATAAACAATATACTAGGATTTGGGGGCACAAAATATGTAAATACTGTTGGTAACCTCACAACAAGAAGAAACTGTGTGATGAGCATGATAAAAGGAGCATATGACAGATGCTTCTCAGAAGTATTTCTATACACTGTTGGTTTGTTTGATATCCTCTCAACATAGAAAGCCAATGAAAATGTATGTTATTGTCATTTCCCTCCTGACTATAAAGTATGGTCAGTAATTTAGTAATGAAATCCAGCTGAAATGATTCAAAGTAAACTACAACTCATCCCTCTTAGAAAGCTCTGCCCAGAAGATGCAGGAGGCAGCTTGATGAGGAGTGAGTGGTACTGTTAATGGATGGGTGTCTACTCACTTATGGCTGTGGCATGTGGTTAGATAATTATTTGAAGATATTAACATTCTGAAAAAAGACATAGGCAACTTCTTACAGGGATCATTTGGGAAGACTGAAGGGTAAAAGGCTCTGGAAAATGGGCAAATAGAGGTTGGAAGAAATTAGTTGTGATTTGGTTCTTTGATTTCTTTATGAGATTTCCCTATATACCTACAAGTGTAGCCATACTGCAAACAGAGGAATAGAAAAGCTGAAGGACGCTACGTTGTGGTTGCTGGGTAAGAATTACATGACTGTTTCATTTCTGTGTCTATGGGGAAGATGTAGATTCCTGGATTAGATAGACAACAGGTCTGTAATGAAATATGTCAGGTCTGAACCAGTCAGCTTTGAGCCTGATTGATGGAAAGGTTTTCATCAACTGCCCACGAAACAAAACAAAACAAAACAACAACAACAACAACAGAAAACTATAGCAATTCTTTTCTGGTTGAATTACAGCATATCTGAAAGTTCTAATACAGTAAGGGTCCATGTAAGGATCCAAGTAAAGCTTTTGCACACAAGTGGAACCATCAATAAGTAACACCTCTTACCATCTGGTCTAAGAATATTCATTAATTGCAATAAACTGTGATTCTTTTCAGCATTTCTTTCCAAATACCTTCGACAGCAAAAGTACACCACTGGTTGCAGTATTGTCAAAATATCCCTGGCTACTGTACATGTGGTTTAAGCTCTTAATGATGCTGGAAAAGTACTTACAAAAACCAGTCCACTGCAATGATAAGAGTGATATCATCTGTAGGCAAACCAACTGATGTAAGCACAATGACCATGGTGACCAGTCCAGCTTGAGGAATGCCTGCAGCCCCAATACTGGCAGCAGTAGCTGTGATGCTGAGAAAAGAGACCACAAGAAAAATTAATTGACTTTCATAGTAAACACCTTATCATCTGGCAAACATTAACAACACATATGAAGCAAGAATCCATTTACTCAGTAATAAAGAAAAAAACGACTCCATTCCCTAATCCAAGCACTTCACAGATGCAGGGCTTTGTGAATTTTAACCTAAAACATATACACTAAACCTTTATCCAGAACCATGGACACATGATTTTGTGACTGTAAATACCCTGGAAGATGCTAATGGATGGTCAAAAACATAGGTACATGCCACCACTTGCTGAACAAATGCACTCCAGCAGCTCAAACATGTTAAAAGTGAATTTGAGGAGATAATTTTGTCATGGAAGACCTAATGCAAAAAGTTTTTTTCTCTGTCTACCTCACTATAGAATCATAGAATCATAGAATGTCTCAGGTTGGAAGGGACATTAAAGATCATTGAACTCCAGCCCCCCTGCCATAGGTAGGGATGCCACCCACTAGATCAGGTTGGCCAAGGCCCCATCAAGGCTGGCCTTGAACACCTCCAGGGATGGGGCATCTACAGCTTCTCTGGGCAGCCAGTGCCAGTGCCTCACTACCCTTCTACAGTGAAGAATTTCCTCCTAATGTATAATCTAAATCTATCCTCTTTTAAGACCATTCCCCTCTGTCCTATCAATATATACCCGAGAAAAGACTCCTTCTCCAACTGTTTTATGAGACCTCTTTAAGTATGGAAATGCTGCAATGAGGTGTCCCCAGAGCCTTCACTTCTCCAGGCTGAACGTCCCCAGGTCTCTCAGCCTTTCTTCACAGGAGGGGTGCTCCAGCCCTCTGAGCATCTTTATAGCCCTCCTCTGGACCTGCTGTAACAGGTTCATATCCTTCTTGTGCTGGGGGCCCCAAACCAGGATGCAGTACTTTATGCCAAGTGAATTATAATCTGTCCTCTGGCTGTTGGCATTCAGCCATCAAAAAACAGAAAGCTGGCAGGAACCCTGAATCATACACTCTAGTAACTTGACATAAATATGCTTGTTCACACCTGGTTTAGGAAGAATTTGTTTTTTCAGGTGATTTGGCAGCGAGCAGCTCTAGTATTAATGAATGTGGAATTATTGCCTCAGAGTGTGGAGGCAGAGTTATGCCTTCTGTTGATGAGTATTGAATTAAGCTGTTTTTTGTTTGTTTATTTGTTTGTTTGTTTTTTAAGGAGAAAAGCACTTCTGCTGGAAAATCTCCTACATTCCCCATTTACCACTATCTGAATGTTCAGTACTGAGTGATAAATACTTTTCTCTCCCTGTCCCTCCCTGTCCTAGTGTCCCTTTCTCCCCTTGTTGACATTTCTTTCTTTTGCACAGGTACCCATCACCCTTTTCTCTTAAATTGTTTGAGTTACATAATGACATTAATGCAGATCGGTTACATCAACTGCTATGTAGCATGTTTGTTGTTGTTGTTGTTTGTTTTTCTGTTCTATTTCAAACATGAAGGCTTTTGTGCTTGAAAACATACTCATCTTCTCCACTTCTATCAGCTGAACTAATAAAAGGTATTTCTACTCTAAAAGGTATTTCTACTCCTTACACAAATTGCTCTACTTGTATCCTGAGGCCATGAAGACAAGGAAAACACCACCCCTCCTAGCCTTAGGTTAGCCATGGTACCATGCCACTGTGCTGCTCTTATGCTATGGTTTGATACATGCAAAGTAAACTATCCAGTTCTGATATCCAGTCCACAGCTCCCAGCAGCTGCATGAATTCTTAATAAAGAAATTTTTAATGACAAAAGAAATTAAAAAGTTATTAAATATTGTTCCTGTTGACTCAGTGTACTAAGTTCAGTGATAGATGTGTTATGCTCTAGTTTTTAAATTTTTACCTAATGGAGAATAAGTGCTGGGGGGGCTCTTCTGTGCAGAAGATGTAAATCATTATAGTTATTCAGCTACTGTAGCAGTTCTTGTTTTTAGCTCTAGATGCTTTTGTTTAATCCCTCATATAACGGCAAGAAGGAGTCATCACAAAGGTTCTTTTAGTAGATGTAGGTAGTAATGGCTTCTGTACCTGATTGTGATAATCTGCCCAAAGTTCAGATCAAAGTTGTTAACCTGTGCAATGAAAATTGCAGCCAAAGCCTCATATAGAGCAGTTCCATCCATATTAATTGTAGCACCAACAGGGAGAACAAATCTTGTAACTCGTTTGTCCACTCCATTTATTTCTTCTAGACATTTAAATGTAACAGGTAGTGTTGCAGAACTGAAACAAAAAGAAGATAACGCATGATACACTACTTGGTACACATTTTACAAAGAGGAGTGCAAAGTGTCTTATGTTATTATAACAAGAAAGATTGTTCTGATTGTCTTTGTTTTTATGTGATCTACCAGAATATCATAAATAAATAAATAAATAAAGCCAAGGCCGAATTTAAACATTTCTAATAATGCAGATTCTCCTAATGTGTTTGGAAAGATTTTCCAGTCATTCATTATTGTTACTATGTAGTCTCTAGTCTGAATGTGTCTAACTTCAGCATTTGTCATCAGATTTTGTTATACTTTGGCATGCTAGGCAGAACTATCTATTTTAAAATTCCCACTTCCCATTTTTGATGCCATGGAGTTATGACTGAACCACTCCTAAGCCTTGTTTTCCTGAAGTTATACAAATTCATCTATTCAAACCTTCACTAAACAGCGTATTTTCTCCCTCTTTATTTAATGGCTCAATTGCAAGGGGCATTCTGATAGATGATTACACCACTTTACCAATTAATCTCAATTAAACTCTGCTACATCCAAATAAATAGTCATCCCAGTTAAAGATCAATCTAACTGTACAATTTGCTTCCTCTACTACTGCCCATTCAGCCCACAGGTTGACAAATTACATTTCAGAGACACTGTCTCAGAAGGAAGGATAAGGTGGCTATTTTGTAAGAGTGGACAGGGCTCTTTGAAGATGTATAGCTACACCTGATTACACCAAAATAAAGAGTTTTTTCAAGACTCAGCAATTCAAATTATTCTGTTTCTGTGACATCTTCATTGCCAAGTACTTCACAGACTTTCATGTTTTTGTAAACTTTATCAATCCTGATAAAATAAAAATACTGATAAAGTATTAAGTAAAGAAGGGCTGTGGGAGGTTGTGCTAGAAAATGTCGTTGATGGCAATCAACTTACTGTTGAATTTTGAAGTTTTTAAATGCACTTGTAGTGTGCTCTCTTGATCCAGCATCAGTCTATGTTCTTACTTGGAATCTTGAGTAGCTCCAAGTTGAACATTTCACAGACATTGGAAAATATCCTCTTAAAACTATTAGTTTTACCCACCAAAGTTTTAGTATTGTAAAAATTAGATATTAATTTTATTTGGCACTATTTATTTTCTCTTAAACTGTGTCACTTGTCTTCAGTTGTATCATCTTCCTATTAAAATCATTATAAATACATTTACTTTTTAGGCATTCCACAGATTGCAAGGATTGACATCAAAATGCTAAATAAGAAACGTAGTAATCATCCCTCTTTACCCACTAAGATAAGGACATTGTTCCTTAAAAGCATTTTTGTTGATACAAAACTTAATCAGATTCTACATTAATAATCCTAGTAGCTTCTAATCCAGATCTTCAAAACAAACCCAAACACTAGTGTCTTGAATTTATTTATGCAGAATGGCTGACCAAAAACATCTGTCTTTATGAGATACTTTAAAAATCTATTGAAGTGGAAGGTGCTTTGTGAAAGGCCATGTGGTATAGGAAACATTTGATCATAGCAATATTTCCTTTCATCATAGATGCAAACAGGGTTTTTATTCACATGAGGTTCCTCTGACCTCATCAACAGGTAACAACAGGGGCATTTCTGTTGCTTGTCGTACTATCCATCACTGGCTACCAGGATCTTTAGCACAGAATATCATGTGCCAAGAAGGACTCTTACACTCTCTCACACAATCCCTTCTGAGCCTTCCCCTTTGCTGTTTTGTTTTCCCATGCACAAATGCAAAGCCTTGTTTGCCAGCTTCAGCATTTTGTTTACCAACTTGTTTACCAACAAGTGGTTACAAACTACCTACAAATCTCAAAGACCAAGACAATGTCACAAGGGTTCCAGCCATAGAGTATGCATTGCCAAACACGCCTATTTAATCTCTGTTCAAGCAGTCTCATTAAAAAATAAGGTTCAAGTCAGCATAATAATAACCACCTCTATCAGAGAGTAGTGGAACAGCAATAAAGTGCCCAGTATTGGAATATGAAGTTAACCAATTATATTAGACAAAATTGTTTCCGAAACCAATAATACTATAGAAAAAATATGGACTTAAAATGTGTTGTACCTGGAAGATGTTCCCAAAGCTGTGACTAGTGCCTGGATTAGGCCTCCAATAAATACCCAGGGGTTCTTACGAGTGATCAGGAAGTACAGAAGAGGTAAGACAATGACAGCATGAATAAGCAAACCAATGATAACTGTTACAGTATACATGGCAAGCTGACCACCAATCACACCCATATCTTCCATCTCAACAATTTTTCCAGCAATTAAGAAGAGGATTCCAAGTGGTGCATACCTGCAAATAAGAAATTATAATTGATATTGGACAAAAAACACTTCTTCAGCTATATCTTCGGTGTTTATATGCAAGCATGAATGTAGCATTTACTGGTAAGATGACTATAATTATTCAGAAGCAATCTGAGAGTTTAACTGTTTAACTCTAAACAGGTCAACTTAGATGAAACCACAGCAGTGAATATTTCTAATAGGCTCTGGTGAGAGGAATATAGGAAGAGGAGATGTATACTGCACCTTTCATACATGAAATCTTAAAGAACTGCTTAAAAAGCATGAAAATCACATAGCAAACCTGGGTTGGATATACACCGGAAAAAAACTGCCATGTAAAGATGAGCCTATAGAAGAGCAGTCTCAATTCAAATTCTTCAGTAACTTTTTTAACTTGTAGGAAGATGATCTCCCTTTGTAATTCAAGTGTCATCTAAAAGCTAGTTTAGCCAATTCTGGTATAATTCTGCCTGTTTGAATGAAGGCGCATCCAACATCATTGCAGACTATGCCAAGTGCCCAGTTCTGTTCTCTCTCCACTGCTGTTTCTCATGTTACTGGGGAAGGAACTCACGCTTCCAATGGTTTAAGTGGCTTCTGGCCATTCCTACTGGGGCACTGGATAACACTAGCATGGAGCTGTCTGTATGGCAGAGGTTATGGCTCTGTGGGGCCCTGACAGAGTAGTCTAATCTGCTTTTTCTTACCAAAAGACAGCTACAAATGAAGAAGGAGCTAGACATAAATCTCTTAAGGTCTTCAGAAACACAAATCTGTTACAGCTAGACTTTTATACAGCATTATTTCCATAAATGCTAACCCATCTTTTTACACTAAGTTATCAGAGCACACCATCATCTAGTGTATCTCAATTGCACTTTTAGCCATAAAATCCATGTAGACATTTCTCAGATACTACTCAGTGCTTTATCATCTTAAGTTTGCCAGTAAATAATGAGAAAAGTTTTTTTCTTTATATAGATTTTTAAGATAACTTTTACTTATATGTATATTTATTATTATTTAAATATTATAATAATATTCAATTCTTTATATACTATATATATTATTCTTTACATACTTATGTGAAAAAATATATAAGCATATTTATATACTTTTATAATTATATATACTTATATACTTTTTATTTTCGCATTTAATACCGCAAAATAAGTGTGTGTGTTAGGGCTCTGTGGTTTGGTTGTGTGTGTCTGTGTTTTGTTTTTTGGTTGTTATTTTTTCCGTAGTAAAGAAGGCACCAAGACATTCCAGACTATTTTCATAATTAACCTTCTACCTGACAAAAAGATGAAACTTCAGTGTTTAAAAGACTTTATACCTCGTATTTGAGGGAAAAGTTATTGGTTTTATTTATCTATTGAACACAACAATGAAGTAGCAAAAGTTATGTATGTTTGTGTGCAGTGCAGCTACAATGCAAGGACGTATTTACACACTACACAAGAACCAGGAACCAGTTGTGTTGGAAACTAAAGATAGCAAAGTCTTGCTGCGTAGAAATGTGATTATGTGAGACATTTGTCGGTTTCCTTTAATGAAGTCTAAGTAGATTATAAGGACTCTGACAGCATGTTGTTTTGATTACTATCTTTATGAAGACATAGAATGGCTCTGTATAAGCCTGGCAAATTCTGCCATATATCCTGATTTTGCTCAGGGCCAAAAGCCAAGCACTCTGAAAGACCAGGCATTTTTTAACAAATTACTTATATATACAGAATTACAGTTCTTGGGTTCACTTACCAAAAAGGCTACAAGGAATTTAAAATCTTGTTGTCTGACTTTCTGCCAGACAGATTCTAGCTATTCAGTGCATGACTGTGGTGAAAAAAAAAATAGTTAGTAACTTAATGCAGAATTTATCAGAGGCACTTACCACATGATTAGAGCTACCAATCTCATGATAGCCTCATTAAGGCTATCAAAGAAGTCTTTTAATGCCTGACCTTGCTCCTTCATGCTTCCGATCACTAAGCCAAAGCTAATTGAGAAAACCACCAAGCCAAGGGCATTCACTCCATTTACAGAACCTGGAACAGGAACCATTTCCTCTTTCATTTGGGTGAGAGTTTCCATTGCTTCAGACACATTGTTTATTATGGAAGCCACTGTGGATGTGTCATTGGGTGGAATATCTACTTTAAACATTCTCTTTTCATAGTTAGTTTTGAACTGGTAAAACAAAAAGAACAGAAATATGGAAATCATGTGAATTATAGCAAACAAAGTTAAAAAAATCACACATTAAATTACTACTATAGGACATTTGAATTCTTTGTGTAGTACTTGTTAGTAAAATGTACTGTGATGAAAACCTGACCTTCCTGAAAACAACAAAAATCTGTATTGACTTCAAGAGCTAAATTTTCACCCCTTTAGATTCCAGTATTTGCTCTCTCATAAGTATGTTGAAATCAAAGACATTTATCATGCTCATAAGCCTTGTGACAAAATTATTGATACTTAGTTTGCATTTTTATAAATTGTCATTTTTTCACCTATTTTTTTTTTTAACTGTTAAATGAATATTTTTGTGTGTGTGCTGTTGGAATACGTTCATGTGCTCTGGACTTTCCTTACTTTTTCTTCTTTTGAATTACAAAAAATATTAGATGGAATGCATGCTAAACATAACATACACTTTTTTTTTCCATATTTTATAACCTGAAATTAGGAATTTGCTATGGCAAAGCCATAGCAAAAATAGGAAAACTAATGTTTTCCCTGCTTTGCAGTAACAATTCATTAATATTTATTGTTTTTGTTGTTGTTGTTAAGGAAAGGGTTCTACTTTAAATGTTTCCATTATGGAATGGACAAATCAATTTCAAGATCTCAGTATGCTACTAAATCTCTTCTTTGACAAGCTGTATTCCACCAAATTATTTTTCAAGGAGAAATATGTGCCCGGAATACTTCTTTCAGGGTTCAAAAATCCCTTCAACCCTGCCCTAATTAAGTTTTTTTGAGCACAAAGAATACTGTATATCACTAGTAAAATGCTTTTAATATATCTCACGATGCTAAATATTGTTTTAAAGTAATGGAATGCAGGTGTCAAGATTATTTAGCAACTTGGATTTTTATTTCTTTAGTCCTGCCTACAAAACTGAAATATTTGGTCCAAGAGCTGTAGTATTATTAGTAACATTGAGAAACTATTGCATAATCGGAGAGTATTTGAGTGAAAGGGAGTTTATGGACTAAGGTGGACCTGAATATCAACACCTAGAAACACCGACCTAAGTTTCTGTTATTTTCCATGCCTGAATAGTTTTGATGTACACTTACAACATATTTGCTGTGTCTAAAGCCCAAAGGTTTTAAGTCTTTCCTAATTTCAGATAATTTTTTCTTACAGGAGATATATGGAAATATTCTGAATAAGATGTCATAAGATGTAAATCTCTATGGAGCTCAGATTTTCTTGAGTTTTAAATGAAAGTTCCCTAAAAGCTTTAAGTCTTGGTCTGCAGTTAGAAGAGGCAGCTGAATGGTTCAAACAGTTGGCTGGCACAGAAAAGCACAGCTCTACTCCCTCACCCACTCCATCCAATCTGTGATAATTTCTTCTCTGTGCCTGCTCAGGTTTGATCTCCCCATGAGCCAGTACTCTTTAAATTAGCAGAAAACTGATCAAGTAAAAAGATGGCCATTTTTTTGTACACACTATGGAGGTAAATCAGCTTGCTGAGAAATCAGATGCATGCCAGATGCAAAACACTGAGAGTGGGACTAAACAGCCCACTCTCTGGAAGAGAAGGAGGGCATGGGATTACCTCTTTAAGAGACAGAGAGGTATTAGAGTTGAAAATGAAATTACCTAGAAGTTAACAGCAAAGAGATTTTATTTCAGTCCTGACAGGAGTGTTTAAGTATTGCCTAATGCTATATATCTGATGCTTCTAATTATTATTTATTTTTTAAGTGTATGGATATGATGATTGTATTATACGTATATTTGTATTTCTTTATCACAGTATAAGCAAAATGAGGTAAAAATTCCTAAATGCAAATATCTGAAGTGTGTACTTATGCTGGACTTGCGGGCATGCAGATTAGAAAAACATTAAAAAGTAATCTCCTACTGAGGACTGGAAGTAAAGACTAATAGTATACAGTATTTCCTGTTTGCATTTTTTGTTGCTGTTTTTTTCCTCACTTCCTTTCTCTAGGCGCACAATAACTGACTTCTGCCTGATTCTCCTCCATTGTCTTTAGATTCTTCTCTCATTTCTATATGAGTAGGTATATGAGTAAGTTAAAAGAAACACATTATATGGCTGCTAGACAGTGTTAGATATGTGCTGGCTGCTGACTGTTGGAACAGGTTAGGAGTGAAGTCATAAACTGCTTTTCTTTCAGTGTTACCACAGTCTTTGTTTCTGCAAGGCATTCCCCCCATGCTGTGTCCCCTATGTTGGAGCTACTAGACTCAAAAATTAGGATTGGGGCCTGAGAATGACTTGGGCAGCAAATACAATCACGTGAAGTTTCTGATCTTTGAAAACACAGTTAGAGATCATCTTAGGTTGCAATAGGCATATTCCTTTATTATTATTATTATTATTATTATTATTATTATTATTATTATTATTATTATTATTATTATTATTATTATTATTATTATTATTATTATTATTATTATTATTATTTAATTTTATCTTAATTATTTCCTGATTATTATGGAATTCTTTCCCAATGGGAGGATGTATTTCATTGTGAGTTAGGTAGCTCTTTAGGTGTATAATATGGATTGTAGGACCTCTCAGTGTATTCTGTTTCCATTTCAACTACTACAGTGCACTCTGTGTACTGGTGCACACAGCTGTAAACCTGTTCTGTTGACTCACTCTGTTGGTCAGAGTTAAGTATTCAGAAATGTTAGCTTTAGCCTAGAGAGAACAGTCTTTCTAGAATCCTTTCCAGTGTGGAGAACAGTGGAGAAAGAGTTTATTTAGAATGGCACATTCTAAATGGCATATTTTTATTCAAAATTGGAATCTGAGCAACAGAAGTAGAGCTTTATTTGCTTTTATTACTTTGTTCACTTTTTTTTTTTTAACTTTATTATTTACTTTTATTACTATTTTATTACTATTATTTTTATTTTACTTTATTTACTTTATTCTTATTACTTTATTTGCTGTGAGACAGTCACTTGAGCTGGTGATTCTTCCATTATTGATAAATGAGGGTAAGGATAAATTTGTGGATGTATCTGCCTTCCTATACACAACATTGTCTATCAAAAGTCATGAGAAGATTCGTGGTGAAACAAAAGAAATTAAGAAAAAAACAAATACAGGAACTGCCAAGGAGATACCTACCAAGGAAAAAGTGTAGGTTGAGGTTTATTCTTGTTAGTGATTTTTCAGATGGCACAAAATACCTGAATGCTTGATGACTACAAAATCATTTTTCTGTATGTGGAATGGTGAAAAGCCAACTTTTTACAGAAAGTGATGGGGCTAAAGAGCACTTTCAAGAAGATAGAAGATATCAAAGATTTTGAACTAGGTGAGTAATAGCAGAGCTGATGATTACCACTTTGTCGAGAAACTGGTGACAAACATAAATTTGTGAGTTTTCGAGATCCCTATTTTCAGGGAGATCTCTACTGTATTTTGCTGGGAATTGGTTATCCAAGATCCTGGGACATCTATGGAAAACTACTTAATTCTCCTAGATTATTTTTTTAGCTCAAACTGAGATTTTAATGGCACACTACAATTCTGCATATCCTCATTCTTTTCCATCATTCAATAATGGGTGAAATGAGATAAAATTGCTCACATAAAGCACTCAGTAGGCACAACTATACAGGGCTAAACAACACCTTGGTGGTGCTGTCATTTCTGAAGTTGATTGGCACATTTTATCTCCAGGCAGAAACATTTCTGCCTTGTAAGACTTCAGATGCAAAATACTCACAATTTTTCCATTAATTCATGTATAGAGAGCAAACTAGGAGAGAGGCAAATACTATTTAATACATGTTAGTACTAACAGTTTTATATGAACAACCTTATCTGTAAGTGAACTATAAAAATTTATATCACTGATCTGATGCCAGGTTAAAATATATCTCAACCAGCCAAAACTATCACGAGGAATAGACAGTATATACTAGTACTGATGTCAGGATGTGCAATTTACAATTCCAACCCCCCTGGTAAGTATGAGTTAGGGAAATAATATTAATGAAAAACAGAAAAAAAACAAAACAAAACAAAAAAAACACTAAAAACACAGTTACTTGATGCACCTTTTAAGTTCTTTAAGCTTTGGCTCACACCCAGTTCCACCTGTGTTGTGAATACAACACAATAACCCTCCTCAAATTTGTAGACTGATTATTCTCCTGATGTTCCAAGTTCGTTTTTTGTTCTTTTGTCTTTTTATGTATTCCCAGAGTACAGCACAAAGAATGACCAGTTATAAAGCGTTTTCTGCCTAACAAGCAGACTGCTCGGCCACATGATAGATCACTTTGAATTTAGCAAAGAAAGAGAAATTAAAAGCTAGTGGCTAGAACTGAAAGATATATCCAATTATTTATTAACATATCCTCTAACTGGGGGTGAATATAGGTGTATGGAGAAGATTTTGAACAAAGTTAACAAAGTTTAGTTGTTTAGTTGCATATTTATCTGCAGTTAGTCTTTTCAGATTCTCCTGACACTGATAAAAATCACAACCCCTGAACAGTGAAGGTAGCAGCATATGTCATATGGAAATGACTAGCACGACAATAGTGGTGAAAAATTGGTGTGTGGTGAGAAAGAAAGAGAAAAACCTTCCAGTGCATTCTAATTCACATATCTGTCATGAAAGAAGCTTCCTTTTGGAAAAGGCAGAATGTGAACATCTAATATATCAATAGATGTGATTTGAATGTGGAGAGTGTATGCCAGTGAGGGTTTCCATGTGTGCAAAGCTGTTGATCAGTATTATGCATCTGAGTTCAGAGAACCATGAGTATTCTGTGTATGAGACAGTTAACGTGGTGTTGCAGAAGCAGATTAGTGACAAATGGATAACCATCCTTCATAAATCTTTTAAGATACTTAAGAAAAATCTGATATGAGCTTTTGGAAAGAAAGTTTGGAGTCAGATGTACAAAGGTATCTGGATACCTATGAATCACAGACATACTTGTTTCTCCTGTAAAATGATTTATTGTAACATACCTAATACAACAAAAAATCCAGGTTTTGCTACCTGATTGAGAAGACAATTCTACCAGTATGACTGATGTTTCAGTAAGCATGTCTGCTGATGAAAGGCAGAAGAAATTTTCATTAAACAGTTCCTGTTTATTGAACTGGTTTTAGGTTTTAAGCCATTTCTAGCCTTTAAGCTGAAATTAAGCCTTAAGCTTTTAGCCTGTAAGCTGTGAAGTGTACGAGAAATACAATATACGTAATATAAACAGAATCTACAGGACATCTTTAACTAACAACTTAGCTTTATGACTGCTAGTCACTGTGCTGAGTTTCTTGCTGCTGTAGGAAATTTTATTGAATGATTGTTATTTTTATTTTTCAAGCGATATATTAAAATTGTTGAGCTAGTTCATTCCCACTACTCCTAATTTGAGATTTTTCCAGCACTTCACATTTAAGGTAATCAAAGGTAAAAATCTTACACTAATTCCCAGTTTTAATTCAGTCATAGTAATTTCCTTGCCCATCTCTGCAATGGCCAATTCACTTCGTTATTGTGCCTTATACTCTTTCTTAGGGTTACACTGTGCTAGGGCATACTGACTTATTTTGCTTTTGTTGGATATCTCAGTATCAGGTGTTTCAACTTTCAAGTAAAGTAAAGGTGTATATTTCAAACTGTAAATTTACTGTGTAAGTGTGTAAGTGAATTTCATTTGTAATTTTCAAGTTGTAAATTTCACTATGTGTATCTTGTGGCAAGGTCATTCATAAAAACATCAACACACCCAGCATCTCAATTCAGCAGCTTCCATAAGTTTGGAAGCTGGGCCTCCCCTCCCCAAATTTTGTAGTTCTTAAAATAATCTTATCCCTTGCTAAACTATTTCACTTCCCTCTTAATATTAAAAACTGTGTTCTACAGAAGTCCAGAGAGATTAGAGTTCTTGCACTTCTGTTGCACCCCGCCCCCCCCAAGAAAGAGAAAGAGAGAAAGAAAGAGAGAAAGAGAGAAAAAGAGAAAAAGAGAGAGAGAGAAAAAGAGAAAGAGAGAAAGAAAGAGAGAGAGAAAGAAAGAGAGAAAGAGAGAAAGAGAGAGAGAAAGAGAGAAAGAAAGAAAGAAAAGAAAGAAAGAAAGAAAGAAAGAAAGAAAGAAAGAAAGAAAGAAAGAAAGAAAGAAAGAAAGAAAGAAAGAAAGAAAGAAAGAAAGAAAGAAAGAAAGAAAGAAAGAAAGAAAGAAAGAAAGAAAGAAAGAAAGAAAGAAAGAATTACTCTTTTTTGGTTTGTTTTGTTTTTCCCCTATGTATTTTTTATTTTCATTTATTACTAAATCTTTTCTCTTTCCTTCAAGGTAGCCGTAGCCTTCAGTAAAACTTAGATCAGGCTAGTGGATTATCAACAGCTAAAATCAAATCCTAAATATTTTTGCAGTTGCAACTCAAAAGGCTGTATAATTGCTTTCACTGGTTACAGATAATAACTCCTGTACTTGACAGATTTATTAAAAATACTTGCAGCTAGATATGTAGCCTTAAGCCTTAACTCTTACATTATTTTGAGATGAAGATGATTTAATTTCCTGACTTCTTTATGTTCTTTTAATTTTTTTCTATTTAGGTTAGACTTTTGCATTTCCATACTGCCCTTTTACATCATTAACCTGACTTCACCATCACCCCTGTTAAAAACAAAATGATAGTATTTGTTGGTTTTGGACCTGCATCTTGTTTATCTTTAACTTAAAAAAAAAGTCTGTAATGTAGAAAGTCACTACTTTTTATTGGTCATGGTTTATACAACTAAAGAAAATGTCATTGTTTCTTTTAAATTCTCTCCTTCTGTAAATCAGCCTGTCTTTTGGAAGTTTCTGCTCTGTATTTTTGCTTTTTGACTTCCATATTCCAGCTTATTTAATTGCTACAGCAATAACTGTTAAATATTATCAGGTCAAGATTTTCTGGGGGCTCAATATGAAGCAATTAGATTATGACTATACACATTATAGGTTTCCATAATGTCCCATTTTAAAAAGAGGAATGTAACTAGTTACTATCATATATATATATATATATATATATTATTATTTATTTATTTATCATAGCATAGTTTAGGATAAGCTAAAGCTAATGAGAGAGGAATATGGGAAGCAACATGGAAAGAACATTCCTACCACAGGCAACAGGATGTTCCCTTGTTTGATTTGCTTATTGATGTCCACAAAGTTGTCTCAGTTTCCAACCTATGCACATTTTCCTTGAGACATTTCTTGAACACATTCCAGTCTTTGTATGATGGTGCATATCTCAGTATCTCACAATTTAATAGAACACTTTTTCTGAAAACTAAATTCCCTTTAGTGATGGTTGCTGTATACTGATGACTTTGACATTATGAAAAAAATTATTGCTTTGTTTTGCCAGGTGGGTTTTCTTCCCTTCTTACAGCAAATACTGAGATGATAAGATTGAAAACAAAGATCAGACTTAGTTGGGGGTTATTTTGGTGACAGATGGCAGGACATAAAAGGTTTGTTTCTGCTGTAAGTACAAATACAACAATAGGATATTATTAAAGAGAATGCTTTTACGTGAAAGTGTCTTACTTTATTATATGTTCTAGATGGATTTTTTTTTTTTTTTTTTTTTTTTTTTTTTTTTTTACCTGTTTAAAGCAAGCTTCCACCAGATTTGGAGGGAACATATTTCTGTGAAAGAGAAAGAAAACAATATGAGAAGTAATAGGACTCTAGTAATACCTTAGGCAGTGGCACAGCTAACAAAAGGATTGACCAACTAATTTTCAAAGGAACCCTAAAATGAATATATATTTATGCATACAGTGAGTAGAGCTTTGCATACATCATTGGCCTGGTTAGCTTTATCAGGACAAAATGCTGTAGGGTGGGATAGACCATGTCAATTATAATTTCTGGATCCAACATTGCATAGCAGGTTTTTTTATGAAGCAGGATATTAGCAATTTACCAAATGAACAAAGCTCTCTGGGTCTGTACTGACTTTGTATTTATTAATTAAAGTTTGTATTTATTAATTCTGTCTGAATCCAGATTAATAAAGAAGTTATTAATATTTAACTCTTTTCTACCTCTCAAACATTTTTTGCAGTCGCATAGCACAGCATGAATTTCATTACTCAATTTATTGCCTTGTGATTAAAAAATTAAATATTTCTGAATTTGGAGTATGCTTTAATAATAACACGGACATATAGTTACATACATGTGTGTATATTTGTTACATATGGGAGTCTGTTTGTTCGCTTTCCAGAATGGTGATATTTCTGAGGGAATTGGAGGCAGCCTAACTGAACAAATCTGGAGGAATCTGAGTGCAAACCTCTTCATGGGTCTTTCTGAAGTCCCCCTTCCTGGCAGCATGACTCTTGGAGGCCTTTCTCCATGTCTCTGGCTTCTCCAAATGGGTTAGTGGAACACAAAATTTTGGTGGCTTTACCTGTGGAAAAGCTCCTGAGTTCAAAACCTCAGCTTCCCTACTCCCTGGAATACATCTATGACATATTAGCTCTACAAAAGAGGTATTGCAGAGTCTCTGAGCAAGGAGAAAACAAGCTTTTATATCTGTGCCCCTCTATTTCAAGCATTTTATTTGCATGTTCCTGGAATTTATTTCCCATCCATATTATTTAAGAAAGCTGAGTAGATGCACGCAAATTGGCAGCTACCATTCAATATTAATAGCTAAATCAGTGATTCAAGTGAAGTGAGAAAACTGTCAAAAGTTGGAAGTAAAAGAAAGCAGAGGAATTTGGATAATAAGGATTGTGATGTGGAAAGAGGGGAAAAGACCCATGCAGAAAGCAGAAATGTTTCTTTTGTGTGTGAAAGAATCTTTCTTTCTTTGAATATTAAAAGCAGCTTCTTCCCTTGCAACAGCCTGATTTGAACATAAATCCATGTATTGTAGCATTGTAGGGGTTAGAAACAGTGATATTGCATAGCTGGAAGAAATTTGGCTAGTTTACACAGTCACTATCTACAATTATCCACTGTTTTTCTCATGCAAATATAAATATTACTGTTGTTGACATTGGTACAGAAAATGTGCAATATCATAGACATACCTGATTAAATCGAGAAAGGCATCTGCTGCTGTCACTTGCACAATTTTGCCTTCTCTGTGCATGTTTTCTTTTGTACCTTTCCCAGGGTGAATGATGACCACAATGATTATACCAATCAGTACAGCAATGATTGTAGTACTCATGTAGTAGACTACTGCTCGGACTCCCATCTTCCCTGATGCTTTACTATCCAGGGCAGCAATTCCTAGTAAATTTAAGCACAAACATGGTCACCTCATACAGTTGTGAGTAATGACTACATACTCAGCATAATGAAAATAGGTTTGTGGGAAGAATTTTTAAGACCTTTACATTTAAAGCTACCCAGCATAAACCATCGCTCTTTTGCAGCTCATACTAACACTGTTTTCACATCCCACCCCTAATACTTGCTACCACACATAATACTTGCTATTTCATTTTTTATTGTAAGAATTACAGCTTTTTGTGCTTTGTTTACATTTGTAAAAGGCAACAATTGTTGGTCTGACATGGTGTGGCACTCCCTAGATCCAGTGAGTCAACTTTTATCTTTTTAATAACATAGTTGCCTTAATCTGAGAAATGTGACTTATAAATGTGCTGCACCTAACTGGCAATGGTAAAAAAGAGAACTGAGTACTCTCAAGAAATTTGATAATATTTGCTACAGTTAATGTTTATGAAGAGTTTTCTTCAATCCTTAATGGAATGACCTGAGTTTACCTCTGTCCCAAGCCATGGGAGTTTAAAATAGATAAAGTGTTGTTAGCTTGTTTCAGAAAATCCTTGCTATTTTATGAATACGCATTTAGAGTCCTTTATAAGCTTTGCAAAACTTTTGACATTAATCCTAATTCTTGGCTGTTCTCAATGTGTCTGGTCTAATGTGAATACTAGGGTGCTCAGTATGGCATCTGCTAAAGTATTTGTTCACCAGTTTGCACCAACAGGGCTACACAGTGGTTTTTAAATGAAGGTGCAGTTCTGCCAGGGAAAGACACTCTCAGGAGTGTCTCATGAGGACTCTCAAATGGAAATGCTACTTCTCTTTCCAAACAGGTGCACTTACTGTTTGTTTACCTAAAGTGCCTCTTAGCACCTTCTCCTTAAAATTTTAAGTAGTCAGTAACTTCACCATTCTTGGTGGCTATAGTATCTGTCCTACACCAGTGCTCTTTCTTTTGGAATAATGCTTTCAAAGGGCAGAATGAAGAAAGGGGTCATGGAAGGATCTCTTTGCTGTATTATCTTCTTCAATGCACTGTTATATGGCACTGTCTGATCCAAAATTTTACTGACCACTCACATATTTATGTAGGTGCATCCTCTGAACATAGAGGATATAATGAATGTTGCCCAGCTCCTGCTCTGAGCACCAATCTTAGAAGAGAAAACATATAAAATAAGGCAAAAGGAGCATGTGAACATGAATAATACAGAGACATAAGACCAGAATCATGACCTGGCAAAACTAAGTATTTTCTCAAAATGCTTGTTACTAGATACGTTGAACTTCTGTTTTCCTTTTAAATGAAGAAATACGTGCTACTGGAGGTACAGTGAAACTACTCTAGATAGTCACTGATGTAACTGAGGTCAAGGCTGCATTTCAGGCTCTGATCAGTAAAGTAAAAAAAACAATCTCATGCTTCATACTTACCCTTTTAATTTCACCTAGGGCTCTCCTGTTCTCTCAGCAGAAACCATTACAGCCAGTAAGATTTGTACCCACAAAATAAATTACAAAGAGAGACCACTAGATTTGCACTCTGAATGGCTTGATTTATGTGTTATTGTAACAGAAGAGTGAAGTGTTAGGAACACAGTAAGAAACTGAAAATGGCAATCCAACATTTGAAGCCCTGGATCCTTCATTTCTCTGCTCAGCTCTTCCATCACTGTCATGGATGATAATATATGTGGTAAGTTTTCATTCATATATTTTGAAATTTTGTGAGGAAAATGGTAAATGCTAAAAGTAATAAAATGTTTTCTTATTTTTGTGAACAGGAAAGAAATCTTGTGGGTGGATGGAGGATTGCTTATTGTTTTCTGAGTCCTCAAAATAATGCAAATGCAAGCATAATTAACCAGTATAGAAAAATACAGCTAACAATTGTTGCAGTCTTTCAGATCTGCTACTGAGTTGTAGTATTTATATCTGACAGCATTTGTTAGAAATTTTATGTTTAAAGCATTACTGTATAACTTAAAAAGAAATGTAATTTTAAAAGTGAAAAATGAATGCATGCATCCTAGTCCAGACAACTTTGTTTTTATATATTTTAATAGCAGTTTTACATTTTTACTTGTTATTTCTAAAATAGAAGCAGTGGGTTGTACATTTTTTCATTTTAGCTAAAATCAGTTTTAACCTTAGTTTACATCTTGAAGATGGAAAGGTGAATTTAATCTATATAATTTGAAGGAAAAAAAAAAAAAAAAAAAAAAGGAAATGCAAAGATTTTAAATCGGTTTCCAGAATCCTGCCATTTCCAGGTAATAGATTCAGGATCAGATGCTGAGCACTGCCAGTCTATGTGGCTCACAGGCATACAAGCCTACTGCTTTAACCAATTCTGATCTTTCTTTGTATTCCACACTTGAGAGGAGGCTGAGCAGCCTGCACTGCTAAAATCACTAGGAGTCAGTGTAGGGCACTGAAGGTTGCTGTGTTGAAGGATTAAAGCTTGTGATCCTATTTCTTTCTTGGACTGATTCTGGGATCAAGTGGTGAACTGTGTGTAACTGATATGTCAGGGAGCAAGAGTCATGCTCTTTTCTTTGTAAGCTGCTTTCCAGCTTGGTTTCCTATTATGTGCTCTGGCTGTGACTACATGGCCCCTTGCTTTAGGTTGCTCAGTCTCATTTCTGCTCTTGCTTATCATATAAATGACTTCTCAGCTTGAAAGTAGGGAACAGCAGTTCCTCTCTTCTTGGGCTCTAACTGCTCATGGCATGTATAGCAGGAAGCATTCAAAGCAGAGGGATACCAGGCGTACGTATGAACAAAAGCTATATGAGGGGGAAGTAAGCTCTCACCTCAGAGAGCCCTTACTGGGGAGCTGCTGGGCAGCCTTCCCTCCCACCCACTGGAGGTAATGGGAACCCAAGGATGGACATTCAGTTCCTTCTAGGGCCAAATCTGCAAAAGCTTCCAGCACACCAACAGCAAGACTTAGCTAAATAATTTTTAAAATCTGTTCTTAAAACATGAGAAAATGAAGGGGGTTGTTTTCCTTCTGTTTTAAGATGTTGACGGGATTTTTTAGAGCTGAATGAGTCTCTGGAAGTGTCCTTAATGAAGAAGCAATAAAGTTCGCTCCAAAGCTTTCATGTGTCACAAACCATTGTATCCTCAGTGTGCCTTTTCACAGCCAGCCAGCAAAACTCCCGTTGTCCCAAAGGAGATGTATGTGCCCCTTTCATCCCACTCGCTGCTCTCTCCTCCCCATGGCTTCTGGCTCCTGCCTCTCTGTCTCTCACTGCCTCCTCTCCTCCTCCTCCCTCCCCTTCCCCAAGGGGCCTGGGAAACTTTGCTGGGCCACCGGTCCCCACGCACAGGGATGCCCTGGAGTTGTCAAGGCAACCCCCAGCAGAGCGCCCGTAATTCCTCCTAGCGTGTGCTCGCAAACAACGTGAATGGGAATGATTTTTTAAGTGTTGATGGGGAGGGAGGGAAGGAAGGGAAGAAAGAAAGGGGCAGGCATAAGTCTGTGAGACTACAAACAGACCCATACCCCTGCCTGTCCTCTCCCTTCACACACTCTTCTCTCCTGAGAAATAAGTGATGAATCAGTCATGCTGTGGGTGAAATAAAGATGTAATGAGGAGTTTCATTTGCCAGGACAAAAAGCAAAGCCTAAGTGGTTCTTCAACAGAACTGTTGGAGAAGAAATGAAAATATTTTGGGACATAGAAAAGGCAGCAAGCAAGTAAGCAGGGTAGTTGCAAAAGAAGGAAAAAGAGAAAGAAAGGATGGAGGGAAAAGGAGAAAAAATCTAGTTAGGTGATTTGTTAAATTGTTAAGTGTGATTTGTGAATTGTTAATATGATTGCTCTGATTGTTCACTTAATTTCATCATGGGTCTGCAAATTATCACGAAATGATCATGCAGCAATTTTCTTGAATAGCTACCATATTATTACTGATTTATGTTAATTATATTTTTATTGTACTTATGAGTCTAAATTATACAGAATACTGAAATTTCTAAATCTGGAGGTGTCTCTATTGGTATTTGCTTTCCTAGACAAAAATTCTTGTGTTTTGTATAAAAGATATATGCAAAATATTTTTAAATTTTGATTACTTTAAAATTAATTTTTATGCACAATAAAGAAGTTTTAAAATACATAAAATGATGAACCAATTCTGAATGTGTGTGTGGAACAAACTGTGTAGTATGGTCCTCATAAATATTCACTGATGTGAGTAAAAAAAGAGGTTTTCTAAGATCATTATTTTTTTTAATTATTATCTTTTCCTTATTCAATATCTCAGAATTGTACTGATGGTACTTTCTTGCTAATGTAGATTTTTGTATAAATTTCCTGGGACTGATGTTTCAGACTAAGTTTGTGAAAATAAAGCATTATGAACGGAACATCTTTTTACGGCTAATTATTTTCCTGTTTATTATTTGGGGTCTCTTCATTAGGAAATTGCATTTGCTTGTTAAGACTCCTATGGTGGAACAGCAATAATAGTAACTGTTGATTCAGGAGTGTTGCCCTAATTTTGTTTCTTTTAGGTTGTCTTTCACTCTCCTAATGAAGCAGTCTTAAATGGGCTACTCCCGACCCCCTACATCTACTAACCACTGTGCGATGAGTAAACGCTCAGTATGAGACCATAAGAACAATCTCTTTTGTGTATGTTGATGAGGATTTCTGGAAATGAATAACACTGTGCAAGGTCATGGTAAAATATCCTGACAGAAAAATTCTAAGGAAAAGCATTAGTTAGGAAAAGACAGTGGCAGTATTGCCTGACTTTAATTAACACAATTAATTAAGCTCTAAAGCTTTATTCTAATAACTGCTGAGCATTCCCAGAAAATAAAAGTCAAATAATATTTAAAGTTTTGACAATTGAGTCCTTCACTGGATCAGGGCCCAAATTAGTCCAAACTCAAGATTATTTCTTTTAGAAGCAATAGCAATAGAAGAATAAAATTGCCAAGAAAAAAGCTAAATAATATTTTCAAAAACTTTATAAAT